CCCCAAAACCCCAAAACCCCAAAACCCCTCAAGATATGAATCGATTATACAATATTAGCACGCTATGGAGATTAAAAGCACCAGTTCCCAATTCTTACCCTCTCTGGACCATCTAGAGGGAAAGTGATATATCTGATTTCAAAGAGAAGGAGATAGCTCTTTCTATCAATGAAAAGTGTGACAAGTCTCTATACATAAGAAATGATATGGAGACTGAGTTCATTATAAAGCAAAGAAATACTGGAAGTGCCAGAAATGCAAAGAAGGAAAGGCAGACCAAACTTGTACTATATGTGACCTTAGTACTCAGCTTCCTATTAAAAAGCTCAAGGGATCTACCTGGGTCCATAATACTTGCTTAAACTTCACCCCAGAGATAACTTACACTGATGAGAAGTAAGTCATTGTATAATATTTGTAGAGAAGATAGAGTAGATTTACTTGGGTTGCTTCCATGGAGAACGAAACTCAAATGTACGATTTGAGATCACTCAAAAGGAGCAGTCATTGTGGTAAGTTACTTTTTAATCTTTAGTGAAACTACAAATCTTGTCTTGAAGCTTTTCACGTCTCTTGAGCAATCCAATCTAAACTTATTGTTGAGTATGATAAAATGCCGAGATTTAAGGATAAAGATATTGATGATGTTGCAATATTTTGACAAAAACATCTCATAGAATCACGTGCAAATAGCTATTATCAGACCTTTATCTCCCCTGAGAATGTATGTGACCATTTAGATGCAGTTACCCAACAAAAAATGCGTAAAATCTTATCATCTAAGCTCTCTTCCTTACTTTCCTCCCCTCCCCCTCAAATCCCATTAAAACCCCTAAGACCTCGCCAGAGTCCATCAGAATCAGCCTCAGATTCTGAAGAAGCCCAAAAGAAACTTGAACAAAAATTATTAAAGCTTAAATCCAAGCGAATTAGAAAGGGTAACTTGCCCAAAGGCATCCGAATCGCTAAAGTCAGGAAGCGAAATGAGTATTTCGTCTAATTTTTCAATATTCTTACTGAAGATTGGGGTTTTGGGGTTTTGGGGTTTTGGGGTTTTGGGG